GACACCGACGGTTCCTTAATTGGCGGCCACGAGGGGGCGGGGGTGGTGGTGGCCATGGGGGACAACGTCACCGGGTGGGAGGTGGGCGATCACGCCGGGGTCAAGTTCGTGCTGCTGTCGTGCTGGAAGTGCGAGTACTGCTACGATGGCCACGAGCAATTGTGCAATCGCCCCGTGTACCTGGGGTACACCCACGACGGCTCCTTCCAGCAGTACGCCACCGTCGACGCCATGGGCGCGCCTAAGATCCCCCAGGACGTGGACTTACTGCGCGTAGGGCCCATTTTGTGCGGTGGCATCACTGTGTACCGCGCGCTCAAGACGACAACGGCGCTGGCGGGGGATTGGGTGGTGATCTCGGGGTGTTCGGGGGGGTTGGGGTCGTTGGCAGTGCAGTACGCCAAGGCGATGGGGTTGCGGGTGGTGGGGATTGATGGCGGCGCCAATAAGAAGGCGGCGGCGTTGGATGGCGGCGTCGAGGAGTTTATTGACTTTACTGAGTGCGATGACGTCATCGGCCGCGTCCACCAGATCACCGGCGGTGGGGCTAAGGGCGCCGTCAACGTGTCGACGCTGCCGCAAGCGATCCAGCAATCAGTCCAGCTCGTCAAGAAGCGCGGGGTGGTGGTGCTTGTGGGGTTGCCGCCCGACACCACCATCACCGCCAACGTGTTGCAGACGGTGCTGAAGGCGGTGCGCATCGAAGGGTCGTTTGTCGGAAACCGTGCCGACACTGACGAAGCCATTGACTTTTTCCGGCGCGGGCTCATCAATCAGCCGTTGACGATAGCGGGGCTCTCCCAGCTTCCCGAGATCTTCGACAAGATGACCCGCGGCGAAATCGTCGGCCGCTACGTCGTCGACACCTATAAGTAAATCAACTATCTGATCAGTAGTTTGAAACAGTCAGCCCCTGGCCTTGATGCGGTCACAATTGACGTAGTTCATAAATATCAGCACACCATTAGTGTCAAAATTTTCATAACAATTCAACTTCTAAGTTTGCTGCCTTAATTAATGAGATGGTCTATGCCTTCAGATGGGCTTTGTGAGCAGATCGCATTGCACCCAGACGCGTCGCCATCAACTCTACCCTATGCCCCCTCATACACGCTACTAGCGTCCCCTGAACTTCAGTAAAGTCCCAGTTTTCCCCATTCGGCTCCTTTAAGGTGTTCCCAAAAAACTTCTAGCTTCGTCTGATCCCGGTGGCTTAACCCTTTTTACCTAGACGTCTTCGCACTCTTCTTGACTAACGCGACTTCCCCCTACACGCGCCTATGAGATGGAGGATGACTACGTGTCCGACTCCCAGAGCGAGGCCGGGGTGGCTTTGGGGGTGGAGGCGGTGGATCGACACCGACTAGAGCGTCTCATCGATGCCATTGCCGACCCGGAATTGCGTCACACCCAGCGCACTCGCTTTCGTCAGCTACTCCCCTCGCCACCACCTGACCCTCGTCCCGAACCGGACCATCCTCTGCCATCACCACTATATGAAGCTGTCCCCCGCCGGCGCCAGCTCCGTAAACGGGCGTTTACTGCGATATACCCCTATATTGCCGACCAAATCAGGTACCTTCGGTTGGCCAACATCAATGACGTCAACGCCCTCTACCAGGAAACTCAGGATTACCACGCCGTGTTGAGAACTTTAGATGGCATGTACCAACGTCACAAACGTCGTTTCCCTCACGACGACAAGTACAAGCCCGAGAGCTTCCAAAAAATCGTCGGAGACTATCGTCGCAAAGCGGCGACGGCGACGGCGACGGCTGCGCCTTCTCAGCAACCTGAACTGCAGTCACAATCAATACCTGATCTGGTGGCCGACAATGTATTCGATTTCGAGGCCAGCGAGGCTAGTCAAGACAGCGACGTTCCTGATGATGTCGCCAGTGATGAGAGCGATACTCTTGCTGAAACCATTAGAGTTGGAGGCCGGGTGTTGTCTCACCGCCTGGCTCTTCGAGGAGTGTTACCAGAGCTGGCCAAGCGACAAGCGATCTGGAAGCCGCGGGCCCCGGCGAAACGACCACGCATCGTCACTCCCAACCGCAAGGGCGTGGCACGCATCAAACCGCTGCACCGTCGTCATCAGTCCGACCGTGATCAACTCCGTAATGAGCTCATCAACGATGCCGATGACGAGGAAGACGAGGGTGATGCATTGGTGCTGATCACCCCAAGAGCGGAGTCTGAAGCTGACATTCTTGCTCGTGAGGCTCAAAGATTCGAACAATATGCGTATGTCTTTGATGATGTTGATCCTAATGAACCTGAACCTGCGTATAATCAGATGGACCTCGTTGATGTTGGGAGGGCTACCCTCACTCCTCCATCACCACCTTCCGACGAGACCCCGCCGTCTCCAATCAGCGTCTATTCAGATGATAGCGACATCCTCGAGTATGATCGAGTAGTTTTGGATGTGCCATCACGACCAAGTCCACTTCCAAAACTGCCAGCAGCTGCAGCGACAGTCAAACGCAAACCACAAGCTCCGCGTAGGCCTCAGCACCCAAAGCAGCCTCGAATCAAACCTCGTCCGCGGGCCCCGGCACGAGTACAAGCGCGACTTGTGCTTGAAAGAAATGGTCATGGTTTGTTGTATCATCAAAAACCTCGCGGATTTGGTGGTCCACAATCAATCGAGCCACTGAATACGACAAGACCCCTAAAAGTGGCCAAAGCATCGACACGTTCAGCCAAGTCTTTGCCAGGTACAGCCAGATCATTGACCGCCACAACTAAACCCTCGACAGCAGCGAGAGTTAAGTCAAAAGCACAGCATCAATCGCGGTTACCATCTCCATATGTTGCTCCTCAATTCACATTACAAATTGAGGCCGAAGCACCGAATGAATATATCCAACGCCATCGCTTTCGCTCAATTATCCCGATACCTTATGACACCACGCCGTCAACGTCTGAATTTGACGTTGAGAAGATGGCCAAAGGAACTTTCTTCATGGATATCAATCAATCCCTCTCACTCCAGATTGGTTCGAAACAGTTTACGCTTTCTCCAATACAACCCCAATCGAACAAAGTGTATCACCAGGCATTAAACACTTTGGCCGATCAACTTAATTCCAGTCTCGATCTTACCGGCGTGTTCGTCAACCTAACGAAATGGCAGGTGTTTCTGCGACCCCAAATTGGCGGTGAAATGCTTCAGCAACTTGTGGCTCGTTGCCAAGCGTCACAATGGTTACCGTACATTATGCTTTTAGCGTTGGCTGCTGAGCAAATCCCAATCCTTGAACAGGCGGCTCTGCAGTATTGGCAAGCATTGTGGCATGAGGAAAGTGTCCCCACCACTTTGGCCAGTGAGATTTTGAAGGCTACGAGATTGTGGTCATCGCTGTTGACACTGGCATTGACATCTGCGCCTTCGGAGTTGCTTGAGTACGCCGTTAGTATGGTCGCACATGCCATAGATGTTAGCCCCATCCCTAGTGATTGGTCAGTGATTTACGTTCTCATTCGTCGTCTTAATGACTGTGAAGAATCGAGTCTCCCCAATCGTGCACTTGATCTTATACTTCATGTATATCATAGTCACCAGTGGGTCTTAGAGGAAAGGATCGTAATCGAGTTGTATGGTGTTGTCAGTCGGCGAAAGTTCGCCAACTACCCAGATGAATGTCACGACCCCGAAATAATGTCCGTGATCAAACTGAGAGAAGATTTCGGCTCTTCCTTCTTCGAACGCTTTTTGATGATATTGTATATCTATGTTGGAGATCTCCCAGTTGAAGATCATCAGACTTACAAAAATCGTCTCAACGCCAAGTTGTATATTCTGCTGCTGCTTCAATACCATGAGCTGCGTGACCAATTCATCATTTACGTTAATCGACTCAACTTCACGTTGTTACTCCATCAAGTTCTTGGGCTGCTGCTCCGTACTCAATTTGACCAACTAGTGAAAGGTGTTGTGTTACACGCGCTGTCTGTGGAGTATACCACCCTTCAAACATCAGTGCAGGCGGTTCAGATTTATTGTGAAACCACTCAGAGCACCGAGCAAATACCAATGGGAGCAATTGCTGCATTACTTGCCAGGTTTGCACTGGAGTTTTTGCGGATTCCGCATATCATGCGCATATGGCGTTTATTTTTGAAAATTTTACTTTCACTTCGAAGTCATTCACAGTTCCCAGAGGTTCTTTCAAATGCGTTACTGTCGTCATTGCCATTAGCATTGATCAAAGATATTCTTCCATTATCGCGTAACATACCTCCGAACCAAGAGCTTTGTGAAAAGATTGAGTTAGTGTTGAATCGAGCCATGAATGACAATGAAAGGCCCGAATTTATTCTGCTTTTGGTTGAGCTTTGGGTTCGCTCTGGTCGCGATAACCTCACCCGAATTGTGTTTGGCCAATTGCCTTATCTTGGTGATAAACGGCTGCAACAATTTTACTCACCGTTAATCCTAGCTTGGGTATTACGATTCGCGCAACCAAATATCAAATCTACATTTGAGGATGCCTGCTATGATCGAATATGGCAGCTGGTTATTCTGTCGCTGGCGCCATCGCCATATTTGGGCCAATTATTGAGTGGTCTTTCCCTTCCAACGACGTTAGGGTCGAACACTGATATGATAGTGCGACTTCTAGACTACTTCCGCAAACGAAATAACACGAGCTTCATCAGAGGATACTTGGACCAGGTGAAGGCTTTATGGAATGCTCAAGGCCGGGAACCCAATGTTAAAAAGTTATACCAATTCTGTGTGGTCGAACTCAAGCGCCGCTTTGCCCAGGAGGTAAAGGAGAACCGACAATTTGCCAGTATCGTTACCGAAACACAGATTGATCGAACCGAGCTTGACGTTATTGACTGGCTTCGGCAGCCGTTACATCAAAAGCTTCAGCAATTTTATCACAGTGTTGCCACTGTAGTTGAGCTGAAGAAAAATGTGGAAATGGAGATACGCAAGTACTTACGCCTTGATGCCGAAGTTATCATGTATGCGATGGTCAATTACTTCAAGTCTTGGAATCAAGCGGTACCCTGGCTTCTTCAAGTGATCCTTCGCGAATGGCTCAAGTTCCTTCCTGATGTTCGGTTAACATCAAAACTACTCGCCTTTTACCGAGAAATGCTTCAATGGATCATCCGATATCCTCAATTGGAGAATGATGTGGTTAACGCCCTCCATCAACTCTTAATCAAGGTCAGTGGGTACGTCGACGTTGGGCCTCGCGACGTGGCATGGGAATACATTAAGGGCAAACAAGTTGACTCACAAGAATGCTTGATGGTGTCAGCGTTACAGCCCCAAATACCGAATACTGATGTTACCAGTGAGCCCTTACTCCTGCCTTCATTGGTTTTGAACAGGCACCGATTGCTTAATCGATTAGAGGAAATTGAGAATCGAGAGGCGAAGCCTGATGTCGGATTACTCGAGTATGAGTTTGTATTTTAACTTAAAGGTTGTCTGGACAACTAATATACAGAATCTATTGACCTCTGAGCTACTGGTTGCTCAATGGTGGTGGATGTTACTATATTTTCAAACCAACAGGTGCTAGCGACTGCTCACGGCACAACTTGTACGGCAAATCCAGCTATGGAGTAGCAGAGATCAAGTATTGTTCAACTGTGAATTTACTGTCTACGTCGTTGGCGTGTGCAACAGCTGAGTTCATTTGGTACTTGATATCTAGCATATTTCACCATAGTTGACTTACAATAATTCGACGTATTTCTTGTTAGATCGAGTTCACAACAACAATACTTCCAGCTTTTCAAAGCCTGCTTTCATGGCATTAGTTATATCCCGTCCGCTAATGAATGTTGCATCGTTTTTGTTTTCACTTGTACATATTGAGCCCTAGTTGAGTTTGTTGGTTTCTAACATATGATATATGACTGACAGGTGTCACTTGCAACATAATTAGCTCGAAGCCGTACTAAATTGTGGTGGATTTCACTCACGAAAGATTTCCAGGCCGACTAGTGCCTTTAGGATTCCAGCGATGGGCAGTCTCATCACGTTGAATGGTTCCGCTATCCGCCCGCATTCCACCGCAAGGGTAAGGAGCCTCGTGACGAGATGCGAATGAGGCTTGCAGCAACCCTGTGGAATACAGTGCGTAACACCAAAATCAAAAGTTACCACGGGTAGACTCATTTAATCTGTGGCACCTGCTCGGCTAAACGTGAAAATCATTGACTGGTCACAGCAATCCGCCGTCAGGAGCTTTCGATTGTCTTTCGCTCAACCGCCTACTCGATAGTTCCCTACCCCAATGCAGAGATAGTACAGGGTATTAGTTTTACCTGTTGGCAATTGCTATCGGCGATGTTATCAATGATAAAGCGTGGCTGCTTTTATAGATATCAATGGAAGAATTTGACGATCATGGCGCCGTGCAATCAGTGACTCAACATGATCGCTTAATCCGTAGGCTAATCATGATATAACTTGCAGGTACCAATGAAGCGACTATAGAACATACACTTGAAAGCGGTGTAGGGCCCCAGCCGTGACATCCACACATCCACGATAACCCCCTGCCCATCGCGATTCGTGTGTTGGATTGACGATAGCTGGAGAATGTGTGACCCTCTGCGCCGAGGCAGAGCATTCCTTCGTGGCGCGAACGATATCGGGTGTACAAATAGACGAGCACAACTATATGCAAGACACACTTTTCAGCGCACCATAAAAGCCCACCCACCTTTACATATCTCTTCACTCCCTTATTTCCGAAGTATTGAGGTTGTTTTCCGACTCACACCGAGTACCCCAACCGCAAACCTTGGAGAAACACTAAGGGGCAAATTATTCTCAAGCAAAACATGGCTCGCGCCAGTAAGGAACGTCTTGCTTCAAAGAAGGCTGGGAAGGCTGACGTTATCTCATTCAGAGTAAGAAAAATGAAGTGTCTCGAAAAAGAGGCTAACATCATCCTCCCAGAATGCAGCCACCTCAATCCCAACGATGACTCAATTGAAAATCTCTGCCAGAATTTTGATGTCAAAGGAGGATTTATCAACAAGTTCAACGAGCTTTGTATGCGCAACACCGGCCCACATGAGCCGAAAATTGACATGAACTACATTGTCAAAGCTTTCGTTGGTGTGATCGGCAAAAAGGTTGGGATTACGGACTCCTCACCCATTTACTTGAAGATGCACAAATGTCTGACATTGGAAAAGATTGAAGACATCCTTTGGAACGAATGGCTTGATCCCTGTGAGATTATGGCCAAGGCGTTTCTGTTGCACAACAGAAGGGGAATACATGTCAACGCTTACGTTAACAACACTGCCCGCATACCCCTCATCTTTTCGGCAATCGCGCTGCTGGCCAAGACCTTGGAAAACGCTTTGACGATCTGTCATGAAATTTTCGAGGTGTTGAAAGAAAATGATCGTCTGTGGTACAAATCAATCTTCATAGACAAACCAATCGTCCTTACGCAAACTGTCGAGTGGACCATTGTCTGCCCTACTCTGTATGATTATCAGGGCACCACTTTGGATCAAAAGCGTTACAAAAAGATCAATGAATTCCTCGACTTCTCAGAGGGTGCTAGTGACAATCTCTGGAATGTCGGTAAACTTGAAGCTACTGCGACGTATCTTCAATGCTCTGAACACTATGACAAGTCTTTCAAGTACAGGGTGCATCTTCGGAATGTGATACTGAGTTTCTCATTGTATCAGAACCCTTTGGAGGAACTGGTTGCGTATACTATCGCCCGAGTGGTTGAGACAACACTGGGCGCCTGGTTTCGGTCTGATTGGATTTTGAGCAAGGCTGCCAAAAAATTGTTCGAGTGTAGAACTTGGAGGGCATTTGAAGAGTGGTGTGCGGAGAACATGGTGCAACCCCGTGCAATCATGGGGAAAATCTTCGTCGTTTCGAATCAGCCCAATCAAGATGAGTCGTCAATTTTAAATGACCATAATTACGTGCCGTTTTTGGCGTACCAATGTGGGCTTTTGAGAAAACTCTCACGGGAGTGCTCATGGGAGGAAGTGTCTATCAGGGGTACTGCAATTATCGAGAAATTGATGAGACTGCAGGAATACTGGTGGGAACCCCGCTTGCCGACAGGGTCACCATTGCTGGCGATTCAACTCCTGCAAAGAATTGAAGCGTTTCGTGCGCTTCCGACGCTTGCTTCTGGTTACCCTCACCAATGAATCACTGACGTGGCTGACATGGCTGACATCAAATAATCGATGTTTTACCACGTCGGAGCCTTGTCGTGTATAACAAGATTAGCGAGATATTAATGAATGGAACAGAGTACACAGTCTGAAACTTAAACTGTAGCATTGTAGCACATTGAACAGTCAACGTTTAATGTGATGACTTCGTCCAGAAGGCAAGCGTTGAACATGGATGACTGCAATATGGTCGAAACCATCAGACTTCACAGTACATGGGCATTACCAAACTCTCCCAAAGTGGCATCAACCAAGGTTCTAGCAATTCCAATAATTTATCTGCAACCCCAACACCACAATTCCTGATCAATTTAGGCTCATTCAACCAAGTCATTTTCCATTAAAACTAGATTCGGCGATTGATCTTTGAAGGTTTGTTCGCTTCAATTATTGTCTTGACAAAATTGCTAGATTGGATAAGGGCTCCGAACCGCATTCAATTGATATGTGATACGTACTTATATCATATTAAATAGCCCAGTCGACGTCTAATGTGGTTGCTAAAGGTTTATGGGTAGCATTGGTTTTGAGTGGTTAATTACATGAGTTCTAGTGTAAATTGGCCAAAACAGCTCGATATTAAGAGCTGTAATGTGTTGTGGTTTTTCGCACAACCAGCATCATTACTGGTTGAGAATTTTGCGGGTGCGCAGAAATCGACGGGGGGTGATTTTATGCACTGGCTCTCGCGCGACATTTGGTGGTTGCCACAATGAGAACTATCACCAAAGTACAAACCGCCAACGCCCCTTCCCCCGCTGCTCTGTACTCCCAGGCAGTGAAAGTTAATGGTACGTATGACAATGGCTGATTGCCAGTTTACATTGAGATAAATATTAACGTCAGGTTTCATCTACGTGTCCGGCCAAGTACACCACACCCCCTCGGGCGACACCCTCGCCGACGCTCTGACTGCTGAAAAGGCTGAGCAATGTATCCTTAACGTCAAGAACGTGTTGGAGGCCGCTAATCTGGACTTAGCTCACGTGGTCAAGTGCACATGCTTCTTGATCGACAGTTCCCCGAGTTCAACGAGGTGTATGCCAAATACTTCGGTGCCACTAAGCCCGCAAGACTGTGTGTTGCTGTTAAGCAATTGCCTTTGGGCTGCACAGTAGAAGTTGAGGCCATTGCCATTGGGAAGCTGTGATTCATTACTTTAAGTATTACGCTCCATTATAAAAAAAAAATTAGGCTGACCTCGATTTTTCCAGTCTGTTGGTCAAGGAGGCGTCATCTAATGCATATCAATTGGTTAACGTCGATGCCTTGATAACAAATTCAATGGACTATCTGCGAGTTGGTCACTTTGCCATAGTGGAAAGCGATTATCAAGTCCATTGGTCTACACACTGTGAAACCATGGAGTGATTTTGGCCAGTACTAAGATATTCCCGTTATCAGAAAACACGCTAACCAATCGAAAAACCTCATCACTCTGAGATTGTTTTAGGTAACAACTGGTTTACGAAGTTTGGGTGTCCAGCAAAACTATTGAGGAACCAACGATATCATTTCCAATTGCGTTAAGATAGACATGTTACTTCCCCAGCCATCTTATCGGCTGATGACGGTACCAATTGCACGCCCATTGTTCGAGATAAGCTTCAAGTTTCGAACTTTCAACAAAAGGTCGTCGTTATTTTTGATCTCAGGCAAATTTGTTTGAAAATCCTAATTTATTGCCACCCCCCCTTCCCCATTCTTAAGGACACCGAAATCCAGTTGATCCCAGACTATCTATAAGTGTACATTAATTTCTACCTGTAAAAAACGATTGTAAGAGACTCTAAGAGAGCCACTCCAAAACTATCATCGCTAAATGCTATGGCGGCTTCATTGATTGCAAAATGCCCGTTCATACTTCGAATCGTATAACTTCCTGTGAGGCTAAGCATTTTCTTACTGATTAGCCGATACATTTAACACTTGTTGACTCATTCGCCGGCCTTAGTGCATCCAATATACAATATTCAAAATACGTGTTTTGACAATTTTCATACATTTACTGTTATCAGACAAACTTTCGCAAGCCATACAGGCTTTTTATATACTTTGTGAATCTTCATAATCAAAACAAACAGGAGATTCCAAAATTCAGCCTTACATTTTGAATCTTTGGAATTCCATAAAAGTACAAAACGTGTTTTATGTTGTATAGAATGCGCACCTGGGGTTCTTTGACTAGGTCAGAAAGCATCTATGCAGGGTAATTACCAGAATACTGTCTACGGACAAGGGTATGGTTTAGTTCCGTCTTCACGGAGGACCAGGTCACATGGGAAAAGGCAAAGACTCCTCCTACCTAGAAGGGACTAGGGGCGAGCCTCGCGATGCCGCAGTGGCAAAAGTGGCTTAGCCAATGTCGTGGTCAATGTCGCTTTAACCATTGTCCAAGTGGTGACAGCTAGTGCCGTGTACGGCACTAGGTGGCAAATTGAGTCATGCCTGTAGTGGCCATGTCGTAGTTCACGGCCCTGTGAAACCCGCAGTAATCCTAAACTCGTAATATTTAAACTCGGCGGGATGTCGGGATTAGAACCAAGTTATCAACAGCTAGATATCATCATATCTAAGACGGTTCTGATCTCGATATCCCGCCTTTTTTTTATGCCGGATTTTTAGAGGGCACAGTGAATCTTCTGGAATTATACAATATTTTAGCAAGTTGTCCGCGTGGCCTAATGGTAAGGTATCACTTTCCGGCGGTGGGGATTGCGGGTTCGAGTCCTGCCGTGGACTTCCTTTTTACCTTTAATTGCAAATAAATTGTATGTCAGAGATTCGTGTCTTTTTGCACATTGTCGTTCAAAATACAGTGTTGCTAGGTTTGTCGTCCATTAATATATCGTAATGCAATCTACCATTCCTGAGTCTTCAATCCGTAAGCGCTCTTCTTCGACCCCTTAATCGGCTTGATCAACTTCGACCCGCCTTCCAAAAACGAGAACTTATCGCGTCTCATTGCCTCGTACTTTTGGATATCGGCTTCCTTTTGTAACGTGAGGCCAATGTCGTCAAGCCCGTTGACGAGGCAGTGTTTGCGGAAGTCCTCAACGTCAAAGTGGTCGACCAACACCTCGCCGGTGTTGCCGTCTCTGATCTGTTGTTTGGGGAGGTCGATGGTCAACTTGTGGCCCTGTTCAACCACGGGAACTACCTTATTCTTAATGACGTCTTCGGGCACCCGGATCGGCAACAACCCGTTTTTGAACGAGTTGTTGTAGAAAATGTCACCAAACGACGGCGCAATCATCGAACGGATACCGAAGTCTTGGAGCGCCCACGGTGCGTGCTCTCTCAGCGAACCGCAGCCAAAGTTGTCACCAGTGACCACCAACACTTCGGTTTCCGGTTGAGTGTTGAGGATAAAGTCGGTGGCGACGTCCTTACCATCGACTTGGTTGAATCTCCATTCGTAAAACAACCCATTCTTGAGCCCCGTGCGCTTGATCGTCTTCAAAAATTGTTTAGGGATGATGGCATCGGTGTCGACATTAGCCTTGTTTAATACTGCTGCCACCCCGGTGACTTCAGTGAACGGTTGCATACCCAGAGCAGCACCAGTAGGGGCCGCCGCCAGCTTCACGGGGATATCATCGAGGCGCTCTTCCACGCCAGCGGTGGAGTTGTCCAACGGCTGCTTTTCGTGCTCGTAGACAGCGTCTTGCAAAGCCTTGTCTTCCTCTTCCGACCCAACCTTGACCGCGGGCTCGTCGGCGGTGTTGTACTCAAACTGGCGGATATCGGTGAAGTGACCCTTGATCGCCGCCGCCGCCGCCATCGCCGGCGACATCAAGTGAGTGCGGGACCGCGCCCCTTGTCTGCCTTCGAAGTTACGGTTGGAGGTCGATGCACAACGTTCTTCGGGGTCCAAGATGTCGGGGTTCATCCCGAGACACATCGAGCACCCAGCTTCTCTCCATTCGAAGCCAGCGGCCTCAAAGATCTTGTCAAGCCCTTCGCGCTCGGCCTGCGCCTTCACCAAACCCGAACCAGGCACCACAAGCACTTGCTTGACGTTAGCGGCCTTGTGGTGGCCCTTAGCGACCCTCGCAGCCGCCCGCAAGTCTTCGATACGCGAGTTGGTACACAGACCAATAAACGCCTTGTCGATAGTGATTTCTTGCAACGGGGTGTTAGGTTTGAGGCCTTGGTATTTGAGCGCCCGTTCAATGGCAGCCTTTTTGTTGGCGTCGTTGGTGTCGGCGGGGTCAGGCACCTTACCGGTGATGGGCAACGCGTCCTGAGGCGAATTACCCCAGGTAATGGTGGGGACGATGTCCAGCGCCTTGATGGTAATGTCGTAGTCAAAGTGGGCGCCTTCGTCAGAATAGAGCGTCTTCCAGTACTTGAGGGCCTTGTCCCATTGGTCGCCCAGCGGCGCCAACGGCCGGCCCTTAATGTACTCAAACGTGGTGGCATCAGGGGCGATCATCCCCGCCCGGGCCCCAGCCTCAATCGACATGTTACAAATGGACATTCTCGCTTCCATCAGCAAGTTTTCGATGGCTTTGCCGGCAAATTCAATCACGCACCCGGTACCACCAGCAGTACCGATGACGCCAATGACGTGGAGGACAAGGTCCTTCGAGGTGATGCCGTCGGCCAAGTCGCCGTCAACGGTGATTCTCATGTTTTTCAGCTTGGCTTGGATCAAGCATTGAGTGGCAAGCACGTGTTCCACTTCCGAAGTACCGATACCAAAGGCGAGAGCACCAAACGCGCCGTGGGTCAGGGTGTGGGAGTCCCCACATACCACGGTGGTCCCGGGCAACGTGAACCCTTGTTCAGGCCCAATAACGTGGACAATCCCTTGACGGGGGTCGTCCATACCGAAAAAGGGAACGTCGAACTTCTTGACGTTTTCAATGAGGGTCTTCACTTGCAACTTGGAGTCGGGCTGGTCGATGAACGAGTCGATGTCCTTCATCTGCGCTCTCAGCACCGTGGGGATGTTGTGGTCCAATGTCAGCATCACGCAGTCCTTGCGGCGGACCTGGCGCCCGGCGTTGGCCAACCCTTCAAACGCTTGCGGCAGCGTCACTTCGTGTACCAAGTGGCGGTCGATGAAAATGAGATAGGACAGGTCGTCCTGGGTGACGATGTGGTCGTCAAACACCTTGTCGTAGAGAGTTCTCGGCGCCATGGTTGTCGGTGGTGAGGTGATTGCGGGGGGAGGAGGTTTTTTTTTATATTGTCGGTGAGTGCGCCTGGACCCGGCGGGGTGGCTCCGGTAGCGGGCCGGAACCGGCCATCGCCCAAACCAGCCAATAGATCCGTGGCAGTTACCAAGCATGCCCAATCGTCAAGATTTGGAGATGGTGGCAATATTGTTGATAAAAGCACACCTTTAAGATCGTCATTAAGTTTTCACTATCAAACACTAATAACTTGAAACCCAAGTCCAAATAATGAGTAGAGTGGCACGATCGCGGGTTTGGGCGGTATGACTCACGCACTTTCAAAAAACACCGAGCTGGTGGAGTGATTCCACCAGAAGTCAAAAGATCAACTCATGTTGTTGGTGTTTTTTTTCTAGAAACTCGTCGACTTACGATATTAAAGTAAAACATCAGAATATACAATGCCCCGAAGAATTTGTCATTTTCGTGATTGAAGAGTTCCTCGATGAAATTACCTATTTTTCGCGGTTCGGGAGTTCGCACTAAAATTAAGACGCGTGCCGAAACCGGTGTCAGCTACTACTTGTTTTACGTCAGTAAAATAGTTCGAAGGAAAACCATTTTCCGCTTGTTCGTTGAGTTGTCATTATTGACTATGCCGCTGGCGCACTCGCCTCTTACCTATATCGTGGGTGCTCTTCGGCCGTTGGCCACTACTCTGTCTTCGCTGATACCGCTTACTCTCTATCTCTCGTTACAACCTCTATCCAAAACTTCCAAGTCGTTCCCTCGACTATCTGATCCTGATCAACTATTCCCCTGCCTCAAATTTCATCGTGCAACCTCATGTATCTTGCTTTCTATCTCTTTTTCCATTTGCCCCACCTCCATTTTTACCATCGTTGGTGCCACCCGTATCGCCGCGCGCGACGATGAACCGGTCAAAGATACGCCCCCCACGACGGCTGCGTCTCACCGAAGGCTCGGCCGCCGACTTTGATGCTCTGTGGCAGGTGCTTGCCGAGGCGTTTGCCCTGATCCAGCGGAAGCGCATCTCCCATTTACTGTACGAGCAGCTCCACCGACGAGCTTACTTGATGGTAATCCAGAAACAGGGGGCAAAACTTTACGACAACGTCAGCCAGCTTATCCAGGCCCACCTCAGCAGCCGTCGTGACGAGATTATCGCCATGACCGCTGCTGACGACACATTCGTTCAGGCAGTGCTCCAAGAATGGGACGAACATCTACAAGCGATGCGCTACATCAGCGACATCCTCATGTACCTCAACCGCAACTACGTCAAGGACCACAAGCGGCTTATGGTGTACGACCTTGGCATCTCTCTCTTTGGCACCCACTTTGTCGCTGCCGGCAACCATGAGGTGGGGCAGCGCGTGATCGGGGTCATTCTCGATGAAATCACCAAATCTCGCCAGGGTCAGGTGATCACGCTGACAGCGTTGATCTCTCGTACAGTGGCGTTGATGGAGATGCTTGTTGATCATAATAATGGTGACATCGTTTTCGGTGAAGACAACTTTTATACCGCTCAGTTCGAGCCCCAATTTCTCGCTCGCCTGGAGACATTTCTTTACGAGCTCGCCGCCCAGTGGGCGCTGACAGGCGACGGGACGGTGTACGTGGAGCAGATTCTGTCGTTCATTCGTGATGAGCAGCTACGAGTGGCCTCGTATCTTCCCCAACGAACTGCCGATAAGCTTGCCGAATTAATCAACAATATTTTGATTAACGACCGTATTGATGCTCAGCTTTCGCTTCCTGGGGGTCTCGGCAGTCACCTTGATACGGTAGTGGCGGCAGTCACCGGCTCTAGTATTGTCAACTACAGCTACTTCGAGATGCTTTACCAATTGTTTGGTCGTGTATCTGAGGACTACAAGCTTCTATGCTCTCGTATCCGTGATGGGGTTGCAACGATGGCGCCAAAGCTTGTTGATATGTGTCGTCAACAGGCCAACAGCGACGGTAAAAAGATGCTGGCGTCGCAGTTCGCGATCAAATGGGTTCACATGGTGCTTGACTTGCTGAACCAGTTGTACACGTTGTGGGAACGGCTGTTTGATCGCAATTTAGCCATTGAGGGTGCATTTACTGAGGCAATCAAGGATGTGGTCAATCGGGCGCCCAAAAAGGCGGTGACGCTGCTGGCTCCAGAAACCCTTTCAGTATACATGGACCACCATATTAAGCAGCTTCAAAAGCAGCTGGCTGATGTCGGTGACGCCAGCTGCCAACTGGTGGTGGACAACTCGCTCAAATTTCTCCGTTATATTCGGGATCGAGACGCGTTCGAAGTGCACTACGCCAACCACTTTGCCAAACGGTTTCTCAACGCGAAGCAGGCGGGAGCTAATACAATTGAAGAGATGATATTAGCACGGCTAGCCGAGGAGATGGGGGTGAACTCGCTTGAACAAGTGATGAAGATGAATAACGACATTAAAGCTCTGCGTGACATCAACCAGGTGTGGCGCCAGCAGAAATCCCCCGTCGATTTGGAGGTGAAGATCTGTAATGCCCAGGACTGGCCGCTGGCTATGACGAAAAATTATCAGGAATCGTCGGTAATATGGCCCCAGGCAGTGAGACAAACGTTACGCCAATTCGAAGAGTTTTGGCGTGGCGGCCAGCGCAACGAGAACAAGCTGCTTCATTGGACGGCTAAGTTTGGCCTGGTGGATATGCGCATCACGTACCCTCTGAGAACGTACGAAATCACCCTTGCCACCTACGCCGCAATCATCATGCTTCTTTTCGCCCCGCAGTCAGTGGACGACAATGGCCATCCGGTGCTGGCGTTTGAAGAGAACCGCGAGTTCACGGTAGCAGAGATTCAGGAGCTCACGGGGATTCCCGACAGTGATCTCCGCCGCCACCTCCAACTGATTGCAGTGGCACCTCGACTGCGGCTTTTAGTAAAGACACCCATGTCGAAAGAAGTGAATGACGGCGATAAGTTCCGTCTCAACCATGCGTTCAAGCTGCCGAGTGTTAAGGTTAAAGTGTTGACAGTGTCATCGTCTTCAGCGCCACTGAAGAGCGAGCAGCAAGATATCGATCATGCCGTAGTTGAAGGTCGCAAGCTTGAAGTGAACGCCGCCATTGTGCGGGTACTCAAATCACGTCGCCAAGTCGATCACAACGAGTTGCTCCAGGAGCTTGTGAAAATGCTTTCGCTGCGCTTTCGTCCACTGGTGTTGGTGATGAAGCAACAGATCGACGACTTGATCGACCGGGAGTACCTTAAGCGCGACGAAGATAACCGCAACTTGTACCACTATGTGGCCTAAACCCCCGAGATACCTCAAATGTATATATCTATAGGCATTTGTCATGCGCAGGATTCGACTAAGAGTTTTTCACCTTACCGTAGCACTTCTTGCTAAGGTGAAAATAAATCGTTGACTCAATATCGAAATGATACCCGTAAATATTATATCATGAAGACTAGTTTTGTTTACATTGTTCACACCCCTCGATATCTCGATGTTCGTGCGGCTCGCGAAAAACTCATCTGTACCGCCATCCATGTCCGCCAACGACGTCTTGGATGTGCTCAACATCTCGCGAGAAGAGGTGCTGAAGCAGCCTCAGAAAAAGCGTGTCAAGACAAGCAACGATGCCTCCAAACAAACGGGTATGGCGCGTGAGCTTTACTCGCTTTTGGGGCCAAACACCCCACCGGTCAATCTCAATCAAAACACCAAGAATATGTTCTCCAAAGATAAACTCAAGATGAAAGTGCTGCCGTGGACACGAATGCCGTTCGAAGTCAATGGGAAAACCTTCCATCATTGGGTGAAAGGGTCACGGGAATTGTTGGATCAAGAGCAGGGCACGAAGCCTTACTTCTTCGATAAATTCAATATTAAACTTGAGACTCCCGCTCTTTGTGATAAGGAAACATATGAAAAGATTGTCGAGGATATCAACAAAGAACTCCAGGCAGCTAAAACGAAAAAGGATGAGGTGAAGCAAGAGGCTGAAGATACCTCCAATTCTAAGAAGAGTGTCGCACCTGGAAACACCAAAGATGACTCAAGCACGACTGTCTCCAAAGCTAAGGAGGATACTAAATCTACTGACGACACCGAAAGCAAGGATGATAAAAACTCGACCGATGGCGATAAGCCTAAGGAAGGTGACGAAGAGCGGTCTAAAAAGACTGACGCCGAAAAGGAAACAGATGAAAAGACAAGAAAGGACAGTGATGCTACTGATTCCAAATCTCAAGACTCCAAGCTGCGGAAACGTAAAGCCAACGAGATGGAAGATGCTGACGACGAACCTGTGGCGAAGGTCGATTTTTCGTACGAAGAAACGGAATATTTGTGGGATCTTTGTCAAGTTTTCGAACTCAAGTGGCCTATTGTCTATGATCGCTACAACTATATGGATACCAATCGGAGTCTAGAGGAGCTTAAGGAGCACTTTTATCGTGTTTGCATCAAACTTCTTGAGGGCACCGGTGCTTCCTCAACTAACGACGATTTCATCAGCCCCGCTCCCAACTCGGCTCTTGTGGACTCTCTCAAAGCATTCAGCCGCAAGCGTGAGACGGACCGCAAGGTATACCTTGAAAATTTATTGAAGCGTACCCCTGCCGAAATCGCCGAGGAAGAACTGCTTGTCATCGAGGCTCGCCGTTTCGAAATGGCAGCAAAGAAAATGCTCATGGAACGGTCGAACTTACTTGCATTATTGGATTCGCCGCTGACCACCCAACTGGTGCAACTGTACCAACTGTCGCAAGGTCTCAGTACTTTGTACAACAACTTGATGATATACGACAAAAACCAAAAGCGGAAGCTGTCGCTGGTATCCGCATCGACTACAAAACTGTCGCAGAACCCGGTGCCACCGGCAATTCCCCCGGTGGCGTCGCTGCTGATTCGCCGCGATCGTGCTTTCCAGACTCATCTTCAGCAATATCTTGCAACGTTTCTCAAGCAGGGGCTGGCCCCGGTTCCTACAGCGCAAGGCAATGCGATCAAGCAACTATTGCAAAAGCGGTTGACGCAGAAAGAAGAAGACGCTTATGGCCTCCACTATCACTCCACAGAAAAGATGGTACAAGGTGTCACTCTCCGGTCAGCGCAACGGTTACCTGCACTCCAACAAAAGCAATCAACGCTCAAGCTGGTGCAAATGCTCTTACAGGAACTCGACATTCCCACTGGTGGCGGTACCACATGGCGTCCACTCATGCCCACTCGCAAAACTATGGCCAAGTACGATGAGGTAATTCGAGCAGCAGTGACGTTGATTGATGTTAAGAAGGCAAGAGATAAGTTAGAGGCTGAGATTCGACTTGTTAAAAGTCAGAGGGGCAATCATCTCCAGTGAGACCTGATATTATGCCGTTTTGCAAATCTCCCCCTGACGAATTTTAAATTGCACATCAAATAGATATCAAGTCACAATCGCAGTATATTGAACAATGGAAAATACTCCGTGTTTTTTTTTTCTTTATCATGATGGGGCATGATTGAATAGAAATATTTATCGGACTTTTGCGCTTATTCCAACACATCCAAACTCTCTAGTAGTTAGATGCAGATATAGCGTGAAAGCTCCATTTTACGAATTTTTGAATAATGTGGTACGTAAACAAGCATTAGTGGGATGATTACGTTGTCAATGGTAAGGACAAAGAATTTAGCCTTAGATACTGCGTGATTAAGCGGTTTATATATGCTAATATCATTCATTAAAACCTAATGGATTGTGGAGCGAAACCTCTTCCCTGCCGCAGGGCTGTCAAGCTCATCCTCACACCCATTTTTTAGCTGGTGACTGCATTTTGGCGGCCACTTTATGCCTACCCCGAATACGACTCTCGAGCCGACTTTTTTTTTTTTTATCTATAAGTATGCATTAATATCTACATGTGAAAAACGATTGTAGAAGATGTTGGCATGCTAGTGCATTGCCGTCCTCGGATGTATCCGACCTGGGCACGGCAGCCGCCGGTTCCCCCTGACCGGGGCGCGTCCGCCCTCGGTCTTATGAGACCGCGCGTTTGCCAAGCCGTGCCTTGAAACATCGCTTTGCTCCCACCTAATCAGTACATAGCCGCACGACCCCCCAGCCATGGAGGTCGTATACTTAATTAGCGGATCCTAACTCCCGATTGAATACATACTGTTTGCCCCGGTAACTCCTGACCATGAACAGCTCCTTACCGGCGGGGTCATCCGAACCTCGAGCCTATTCTGGCCATTAGAAGACTCCAAGAGCCGCCTACTTTTTTTTTTTTTCCATAAACTTGCATTAGTATCTATCTATCGTCTGTAAAAATAACTTATAACCTTCACCTAAGGTCGACTAAGAAAAAACATCAAGAATTTGATACCCGCGACTCGCGGAAGTTACACCTACCACCATGACAAAAATAAAAAAAAAAACAGATAAGATATCTGCGAGTTGAGAAGCAAGAACAAATTGCAAACCTGTGAGAGAATAATAACTGAAGTAGGGTGCTCCAGTAAAGGGGGGAATGTGTACCCTGGTCGGCCACCAATTAGCCAGTGTGAGGTCACTATCGACGTCATCCAAAAATTTGTCACTCCCGACAACCCCGCTCAATCGACCCGACTACCACCCATCCTTTTTTTTTCGCAGAGTTCCAACTTGACGCGGGACCCTTTCCCTTGTCAAGCGACACTTTACACCAGAAACACAACGTCTTTGGTAGTATAACGGTTAGTATTTCCGCTTGTCACGCGGGAGATCGGGGTTCGATTCCCCGCCAAAGAGAATTTTTCTCGCCCACATAATCATATGTCTCGGTAAACCCCACTATCGAAAACTCCGATGAATATCATTTAGACTAAATGTTCCTCATTGATTATTACGACTAAAAAAAAAACAAAAATGAGCTTAGGCTACATTTTCACACATTGCCAGTTTTTGAAGAAATCAGATAACTATAAAAGGGCGAAACCCAGCCCTGAAAACATATTTATTACGCCATGAGCAAAGTCTCAAGAACTACAGGTTTACTCAACATTAGGGCTACAAAGCTGAATTCCCAGACCCCAATAGCGCTAAGGCTAGCGGATTTTTAAGGGATAGCGAGATCAGAGTTTGTCGTGAGAGAAACTCGCTGGTGGATGGTCCCACTGGCACACCCCATGTTAGCGTAGGTAGCCCGACCACATTGTCACCAAAACCCGTGGACCCGTCTCTTCGAGGTCGCGAGCGCGACACCCCGCCCGCCCCCTCATACCAGCCGACTCCCCTGGGAACCAGCCCCCCGCCCGCACCTTCCCAGACATGCCCACTACCGTTGTTGCATTTGTTGTTGGCTTAATCAGTAGATACTTTTTAGGTGGTGTGGCTGTTCCTTTTTGCATCATCAGTTGTTTTGCTTCATTCCACATCAATCTGGTATAGTGNCCGCCCGCCCCCTCATACCAGCCGACTCCCCTGGGAACCAGCCCCCCGCCCGCACCTTCCCAGACATGCCCAC